GGGTCACAGAGGCATGGATGGCCTCCTTTCGTGTTGTTGTGGTGGAGGAGCTGGAGTGGGTGTGAGAATAGGACGGGGAAGGGCTTGAAGTCCACTGACTGTGGAGGGGTGTAGTGAAAAGCACACTGTTCCACGCAAACGTGGTTCAGCTGTGCCTGTTAAAGTTGCTGCAGCAAATGCCTTACCAGTTCTGGATCTGTCTTTCCTGGCCTTTGGGAGAATTGGCAGGCTATGGCACAGAGAAGGCCATTATGGGAAGGATAGATCTGGGCTCTATTTACTAGAAGGAGTAGGCCAGCAGTAGCAGGAAAACTTAAGGGAAGGGTGTGTCTGGAGATCTCATTGCAGATCCATTGCACAAGCAAAGTGAAATCCCACACACTAAATCATGTTCGTGGATTGTACAAGATGAAGGGTCCTGCATAGTAGAAGTACTGCCTACATTACTTCAGTGAAAACTTGTTTTGTTTATTAAATGTATAGCCCACTATTTTTCCTGCAAGGAACCCAAGGCGGCTTACACAATCCTTTTCTTCCTCTCCATTTTATCCTTCCAACAACTCTGTGGGGTGAGTTAGGTTAAGAGTCAGTGAGTGGCTCAGAATCACCCAGTGAACTTCATGGTGAGTTGGGACTAGAACCAGGGTCTCCCGAGTCCCAGTCTTACATTCTAACCACTGCACCACACTGACTTTCCTGTATTCCAAGCCAAGGTAGAGCTCCTCTGGCATAGATCTTGTATAGCCTGCTCACTGCTCATGGTCAATGAATATTTTCTTAATAGCCATCAATAACTATAAAAACACCACGCCAACAATTGTCTACATTTCTACAGTGAGATGCACCTGGAGGAACCACGCCTATGTCTGGGAGTTAAGAGCCCAGAAAGAACAGTCTGTGATGTTTGATTCTGAGTGAAGAAACAGGAGGGTTTCTGGAGCAGCCAGGAAGGAGCTTGCAAGGAAGATGCTGCTGCCTTGGATGACAAGCCATGCTTTCTGAATAGTCACAGTGCCCACCAGCACATGCCGCAATGCACCATGGGTTAAATAAGCCATCGTGAGCTGTGCCAATGTGTGGATTCATGAGACAGAATGGTGGAGTGGTTAGAGCATTAGAAATCTAGATTCTAATCTCTGCTCATCCACAACGTTCACTGAATGCCTTTGGGTGAGCCACTGCTTCACATCCTAATCTGCAGATAAATTGGAGAGGAGGAAGAGATAAATGGAGAAGTGGAGGTTTCTGTAAGCTGCTTTGGGTTCATTGCAGTGGCTTCCCAGGGTAGGAGTCTGTCTAGCATTACTTGGAGATTGCAGGAATTGAATTTGAGGTTTCTGCATACAAAGCATAACGTCCACCACTAAGCCACAGCCCTTCCTTTTACTTCAGTTCCCAGGACCTTGAGACCTCATTTCTGGATTGATCTTTCTTTGGACTGATCTCTCACACTGTCAACATCTGGACTCCTCTGAACACTTCTGGACTCCTCTTACACTTCTTGAGTTGGACTGCTTGCTGATGCTTGAATTCATCTCTGTTTCAGACCTTCCTTTTGTACCATTCTTTGCCTTGACTGGTAATTCTTTGCTTCTGGTCTCTGTCTGGCTTCTAACTTTGCTGAGCAGGCTTGCCCCATAGCTGGCGCCAGGACTGAGTTTTCCTCAGCCATAGGAGAACAACCAACTCATTCGTAGGCAATGAATATCTTGCAACAATATTCACAATCAATAGAAATGGAAATGAGTAGGGTCCAATATTTTCATGTATTTAAAGTAAAAAATACATATCAGTCATGCATGAGTTACAAAGGAAATACTGTCACTTGTTACTCTGCTGGAACCATTCATCCCCCCCCCCCACCCCTGGGAATGACCTAGAATAGGTCAGGATATAGGGAGGTGGATAGAGCACTTGACACCATAAACTGTCCAAACTTCAGCTGAAACAGTTTTGGTAGGGCCACTTTATGTGTTGTCCATGTGACGAGGACTCCATGAGAAGACGCAAGAGCAGGATTATGCTTCCACTGGAATTTGGATCATGATCACATGGAAGTCTGTGCATAAGCAGGTGCTCACAAGTAGGCTTCCCCCCGGCTGTCCAGGTGGACCTTCAGGGTGCAGGATCCACAGCCCAGCCTATCCTCTCATGGTTAACGTGTGAAGGGTGCTATAAAGAGTCCAGCATTCTGGTCATTTTCCTTACTGCACAAAATCATCCAGTCACAATGGCAAGTGGAGGAACTTGGGACATCCATAAAATGGGAAGATGCAGGCTTGAGTTTTGCCTGAAGATTCCTCTGCAGGTTCTTCTATGGGCCTGTGCTTTGGCTTTGTTTAAAAACAGTTGCCAGTGCACTCACTCACCTCTTACAATTTCTTTAAGTGTTTCAAAATGATTCCGCACTGCTTCCCTAAAGTGCCCCTGCCTTTATGCATCTTAGGGTGCAACTCAATGGCCACATGTGGAAGGTTATGGGCATGCTATGCCGAACAGTTCGAGCACGGCAGTGAAGGTCATGTCTGTGCACCCTCGCTCTGCAAAGTGGCTAGATGGTCAGGTTCTGCAATGTAGCTCCAGCGCTTTAGATGGAAAAAGGAAGCTGAGGTACCACCAGGACAGTTGTAGCCTTGGGGTGCTGGGTCCCTTCCCCATCTCCCTTTTCCAAGGTCACTCTTAAAACCCCACAGAAGCAGCCAGTGTGGTTCTTTCCAAACTGGCTGCTAGAGGGAAGGAGGATTTGAGAAGAGATCCCCACATCCAACGTTAGTGGTGTTTTCTGACTGCAGAACTGGGGATCTGAAAAATCCTATGGCCCCTTAATGCTCTCAAGTGGGCCAAAGGTTGCTTTGGTTTAGAAAGGCCACTCAGGTAATTACTATGATCTCTGTGCATCTGTTTGGGTATCTGGCATGTTCTTTCATTATTACAGCTTATAGTCATGTTAAAAAAGCTTATATTTACATTTTGCATGCTGTGTACATACAGACAACATGGCTTTTAATTTGCCTGTAAAATGGGACTCTTCTATTTATCTGTCTGAAATCTTCCCTTTCTAATCTCATGGAAAGATAATAGAACACCTGAATATTTCATGATAGTTGGATGAAAAATATGAAAGTTACTGACAGCAGAAGAGCATCCTGAATGAAGTAGGAAACGGAAACAAATGGAAATAACAAAAAATGAATGAAATGCTGAAAATGAAAACAACGAATGAATGATGAAAATGAATGGAATAACCAAATGATTTTTTTTTACTCCTTGCAATGGCATAAATTCCTAGTGTTCTCTTTATAAAAAGAGACTTCTTTCTGTTCAGATGTGATCAATAATAAAAGCCAGAAGAGGCACAGGTGACCACTAGAATGTAATTGCACTTGTGAGCTTATTACCAGCAACCAGTCAGCATCTATGTGAACAGAATTCAAGACCAGATAGACCTTGGTCTGATCCCAGCATGGCTCCTCTTATACTTTTTCTGGTTCTTAATTGGACCAACAAAGATGTGTCAAAATAATGGGCTAGCTTTCAAAAATACTTTTGGAAAGTTAAAGTAAAAACTCTGAGGAAACTTCCTGAGTGTGTGTGATTTATCATCAGAATACTTTGGTAGTTGATATCCATCAGGACTGCAGCATAGGAAGAAAATATTATCACCTGCCCCGTGTCCCAGTATTTTAAATGTGATCACACCTTTAAAATAATTTTGCTCTTTTGGTTTCTATTCCAGTTGCTGCTCCCACAATATATTTCATACATTAATGACAACTTATGTAAAGAAGAAATTCCTTTTGTCAACTATGAACCTATACTAAGCAGTTTTACTGAGTGATATCAAGTTCTAGTATAATGGAGGAGGGAGCAATTCTGACTCGCTCTGCCCCTCTGTCCCATTCATGTCTGCCCATGTTTCTGTCTCTCTGTAACCATGTGCAGTCATTTTTCTCCCTTAAACTAAAAGCTTCAAACATTTCAGCCTTTCTGAAAAAGGAAGGTGAGCTAACACCTTGATGGTTTAGGTGCACAATTCTATGCATGTCGGGACAGAAAAACAACAACAACAAATCCTGGTTGGGGAATGCTGGGAGTTGTAGGACTTTATTCCATCTAAACATGAATCCTTAGTCACCTTCTCCTGGAAAAGCTCTAGGATATCCTTGTTGAGATGGGACAGCCAGAACTGTAAACACCATTAGAGGCCTACAGAACGGCATTAGGATACCTGCCATTTTTATTTTCTGTCCCTTGTCAATGTCCCCAAACTGGGTTAGATCTGGATTTAGGGGAATGTGTGATTTGGCTGGCGGAAGTACGCTCCTCCACTTCCTCAGGGGCTTCCCCACCTTCCCAGCAGCCTTTCCAGCTCCTGAAAGATGCTACACAGGGTCCGAGGACTTTCCTGGCAGTTCATCGCGAGAGGGCCGATCTCCACAAATCTAGTGTAGGAACCATCTGTGAGCAGAGAACAGCTCTTGGATGCAGCCCACTTGAGTTTGCTTTTTCTCTGCTACTTGACACCACACTGCTGTTTTAAAGTAAAGGTTGGGTAACCTAACTAAAACCATACAACACAACGTGTTTAGAGCTTTTTAAAAGCAGGAATTGGTTAACTAAATTCATCACCAAGATCCAGTGATTATTCATAGTGACCTATCACCACAGTGTAAACTTAGTGTTTCTTTCCTGGAAGCGCCTTCTGTCCACACCCACTCAGGGCTCACTTCTGTAATAAGTAGGGTGGTTTTCAAGCCAGGTTCATCAGCACATACATACGGTTGGTAGAAATTCTCCGAGAGATTCAGACAGAGATATTGGTGCCTTGTTAAATATCCCAGAAGGAATGGAGGTTGGAGAAGACGGTATCATGTCATACAATATCATTTAGGATATCCATTACCAGTTTGTCCAAAACATTTCAGGTTAGCATACAAACCCCCTTTTAACCAGAATAGACTTTCTTGGTTCTGTTTTATTTTGTTGTGAAATTTATCTGAAGTTCTCCCCTGCAACCCACAACATACGAAAACAAGAAGAGCATTTGTGCGGAACCCAAGCACGTACAAAGGAACTGGGGACATCTTCATAAGACTAGGTATGTAGAATTTCATGTTGTTTTAATGCCCATCTTTCTGGGTGTCTTGAAAAAGTGAAAGATGTCTGCTATTGAGGATTGTTCCCCAGAGAAAATCTGTTGCTTAATGGTATACTAGGATATATTAGTCAACAGCTGCATGGTTTAATAATGCCATTATGTATCACCTTGGAGTCAACGCAACCACATTTCAAAAAACTGCTTCAGAGGAATTCAGTGGGGAATCTATTTTCCGTGCTATATGAGGCAAGGGAGAGGAGGGGGCTATGCAAAGGCATGTGCAACCTACTTGTGCCCCTGTGCAGTACAGACTCCCCTCCCAGGCAAAATGGGCCGGCAGCCTGAGTCTGATCATTAGGCATCTCCCCACTTCTCTCTCTGAACTGGGAGAATGTCTGAGCACTGAGTTAATTGATCTGTCTGAAATGGAGGTGAAATTTCCAGCTGCTATGCAATGCCTCCCCACTTCCCTGTAGGGATGAATCGTACTACTCCAAATCCAAATTTGTATCTAAATACAACTGTGGTGGGCTCAGCAGGGAGGGAGGAAACCTTGCCCTTGGTCTTGGCTTGAAATCCAAACCCCCAGTCGAAATTGAGAGAACACTTGCTAACAAGGATAGCAAAGGGGATGGAAGGGAAGCAAGGATCCCCAAGGAAAGTAGAAAGTTATGTGAATCTAGCCCGGCTACCCTGAGCCCCTGTGGGTTAGGAAGCAGGTCTGTGCTTCAGAGTGGCAGCTTGTCAAGCTGGATCCCAGTTGCAGCAGAAACAGTTGCTGTGTCGATCAGCCAGAGAGCACCCAGTCATATCGACAGGAAAAGTCCACCTCGATCTGCTGGGCAGAGAGAGGAGCAACAAGGGACTAAGGAAGGTGGTGGTCCAGCTCAGCTCAGACTGGCTGACTAGCTCACAGGCCTTCCCAGTCATGAGTTCAGAATCCCCGGAAAGGCAGCACAAGCTGGGATGCAACTCCTGGGGGTTCTGCCTAGGGAAAGCTGATAGGGCAGCTCTGGCATCCTTGCAGACTGTTTGCAGCCCTCTGCTCAAAGAAGTCCACGAGCAAGCATGTGGTTTAACAGCTAGTATCTGACAGTTTGGGACAATTGTTGAGCAATCGTGTTTATCATTTCACAACAATTAGCAGCTGACTATATGCAATAGAATTTAGAATCTGAAAGTATATAATAGCAACGCATGCAGCTGTGTTTAGTATCTTAACAGCAGACCATGTTTGGGGTTTATAGCTGATCTCTGTCAACACAAATTAAAGATACAAAAAAAGAGGGTTTATTTATTTATTATTTATTTAGAGGGCTTCTATGCCACCCCATTCGCTGAAGCCTCGGGGCGGCTCACAATAATAAATAAGGACAGAATAAAACAATATAACATGAGTCGACCTGGCCTGAAAAATAAAATAAATAAATAATATTAACAATTAAAATAGTGTTTGAATAAAAAGGTCTTTGCCTGGTGCCGAAAAACAAATAATGATGGCACCAGGCAGACCTCTCTGGGGAGCGCATTCCATAGATTGGGTGCCACAGAGAAAGCCCTCCTCCGAGTACCTACCCTCCTAATTTCCTTCACGAAAGGTTCCCGGAGAAGGGCCTCCCGCTGATCTCAAGGGGCGGGCGGGCACATATGGACGTAAGTGCTCCTTCAGGTAACCAGAACCCAAGCCATTGCAATGCTTTATCAGCCTACCTGGGAGTAAACCCATTGACTTCAGAGGGACTTATTTCTGAATATCTATTGTACGAGTTCAGTATCACAAACAGTTCCAATTAGAGGTAAACATTCAAAAACCAAGCAGTAAAAACTGTTACTTCGGCCGTTTTCAAATATTTGCACTTTCATTTCTAGCAATCAGGAATATTTCTTTGTTACTGGAACAGGATGGGCATCTGGACCTGGTCTCAGGACATTCTGTTCCCGAGAGTACAAGAATTCACCATGGGAGCCTGGCTTGCTTACTCCTCACCGCTCCCATCCAACCACAACCAGCTGTTATCCCTGTTTCTGATGTGCTGCTGCATTGCTGTGTCGATTGGAGGCTTCTTCTATTGCTGGATGTTTTCTTCCTTGCAGTACTCTTTCCAGTTCTCCGCCACAACTGCTTCGGCCATTGGCTTCCTGGCCTTGCTGACCCTCTTCTTAGTGCACCCTGTTCGTTGCATGTTCACCATCATTGTGCCCACCCTGGGGACGAAGCAAGGACGGAGGCTGCTGCTGTCTGCCTGTTTCATGATAGTAACTGCTAACATAATCCCAAACATCATGAGCAACATCAGATCTATCCTGCAGGTCATTAAGTGCATCTGCAAGGATTCCTCTGAGAGCCTTCTGACCTCCACCGTTCTGTTGGATGATGCTTCGTGGGACTTCGCTCGCACTCTTAAAACAGTGTTTGACAACATGCCATCCAAAATAGGGAGAACTAGAGATAGCAATGTTCATTTAGAAAGGCACAACAATAGCTTCCTACTGAGTCAGAAAATGACTAGCGCTAGCCAAGGGATCAAGGAAGATTTCTTGGAAGCTGAAATGCTAGTCCAGAAGGCCATACTTTGGGCCAACCGGATTACTGCTGGCTTCGTCCTCTTTTATCTGGTTTTTGAGTCTTCCTGGTACCTGAAGAGCTACCTCACAGATCTCCAGTTTGACAATATTTACATCACCAAAAAACTAGAAGATTTGGCTCGGCAGAAAAATGCAACTCACCTGCTGGTTTGCTCCCCTAAGAAGTTGATTAAATCAGCTGGTCTCAGGTTATCCCGAGAGGAATTCACGGGTTGTTTAATGCGCATATTTCTTGTTTCTCTTGTGTTCATATTGACACTGGTGATCATAACAGCAGACTATATCTCCTTCTATTTAGCACAAGCCACAGTGACAGAAGTGTCTAAGTTGCCTGTAGTGCCAATTAACTTCTGGATAAAATATAATGTGAGTACTGAGGTCTAGAAGCTTGGGTCTTTAAGTGATGGGGTAAAATAAGCCCATTGTCAATGGAAACTGAAACACTCTTTGAACATGACTGATTTCAGACATACAGAATGGGTATGAGTGAAAATTAGCATACCGTGGCCAAAATGTACTTTCTCTGTTCATAAAGTAGTGTGGATTCAGATGAGCAGGGATGTGATGATAGCTTAAAAAACTACCTTTTGTTGCCTACCAATGCAGGTTGGAAGTAGCTCTCTGCAGTCAGGCTCAGTCTAATCATGGCTCAGTTCCCAAGGTTTCTGAACGCCCAGTAAGTCCTAGTTTACACGGCAAATTCATCTGAATGAGGATTAAAACCTTGCGGTGTAGACTGTACCACTGCAGACTGCAAGTAGAGGATGCCATTTTGAATACTCCCCCCACAAAACACACACACGGAGACACACAGCAAGCAAGCAAGCCAAACAAACAAAAAACTCCCAGTTAGCCAAAAATTAGCACACCAATGAGAAAAGCTAGTCAAGCTGTTTCACCATGACAACAATTTTCTAGCAGGGAAGGGCTTTTTTATACAGTGGTGCATCTAGAATATTTCTTTTATTCTACCTTTTGCTGCCTGAAATGATAGTCCTTTCTACCAGCTGTGACTTCCACCACTTCGTTAGTACCTCACTCTATAACATGTAATGACCTGGCCTAATTATGTGCTTCAAATGAGATCCATTCCTGAGGTGCAAAAGTTATTTTAAAATTCATCTTACATGCTTTTTGCTCATTTTTCCAAACTAACCCTGTAATACTAATCAAGATCATCTATGTAGTTTTCAAAGAAAACTGTACCCCTCCCCCTCAACTAGCATGGATTTAATGTGAAAATGGCCAGCTGTATAGATTTGACTACTATCTGTGTGAAGCATGGATTTTTTTCTATACCATTCATGATATAAGCATGATAATTTGTGCTCATGATACGACTAGTTCAAGTGGCTTCTTCACCACATACGTTTTTACTTCAGAACAGTTCCAACATGCATGTGCCATTTTTAGATGACAGAATCCTAGGAAATCTTTCAACTATAGAGAAGTATGAATTGGTTAACAACTAATTTATGCTGGTTGCAAAAAGAAAGTTTTGTTGATTACTTGGAAAGTCAGAGATAGACCGTATGTGAGATTGGAAATTTTGCTCTTAAGGCTCTGATCCAGAAACTGTTACCCACTGGCAGATTCTAAGGATATTTATGTATCTTGTAGGTTCAACTAGATTTACTCTCTGTTAAATGTGTTCAGGATTGCAACCATAAACTTTTCTTGAGTAAGTTGTGCTAATAATTTTAAAGAAATTTAAGTGTAGTTAACTTTCTTATAATTTACAGTTAAGGGGCTTTACAATTTAGAGGGATTTTTTCACCACTCCTAATATATATCTACATTTATAATATCTTACTTCTTCACCATTTCTAATACATAATGATAATTAATAAAAAATAGGATTAATATATTTGTCCATTACACACACACACATGCACATGCATGCTTTGTGATGGTTTCACAGTTTTTACTGAATCGTTCTCATTTTTTTTTCTCTTTCAGGCTGAACTGATCTATTTAAAGTTTCTTGGACCTATTCTCAGAGATGCCATTTCTACCCAACAGTCCATACATCAGTTCGAAAGGAATTACCATCAGAACCTGACCCTTGTCTCTGGGAACTGTTCCGTGGGGTCTCTGAATCCTCCCAACACAGCTGTCACCCTTGCCGTAGGACTCCTCTACTGCATCATTTATGTCACCATATTTTTGGAAACATACTCCCACAGACTATGCCGAAAGATTTCAGCCTCCTTTTTTGAGAGCCAGGAAGACCAGAGAGTCCAGTACCTCTACCGGAAGCTTGTTAGAAAGTACAAGAAGAAAGAGCAACAGCAGCAACTGCAGGGATCAACAGTATTTTATTAAATTGCTGTCTGGCTGCAGTGGATGGGGATTGTGCTTTCATGGCTGGAAGTGATGACAGCTCAGAAATGCTCCTCTGGTGAGCCCAAACAAAACTGGCTTGGTTGACCCTCATGGCATGCAGGGAATCTATGGGTTGGGTCCAGATTGGTCGTGCTTACAGTTGACTCATTCAAATAGAGAAAGCCTCAGCTATTGGGTGGTATAATAAATAAATAATTGGGACTTCACATGATTAAGTTAAAACACATTGATGTCAAGGGATCTTCTCTAGGGATTATTTCAGTCTGTATGCAAGCTATAATTTTGTGAATGTGCTGAGATTAGCCGTTGCTCACCTCAAAATGTACCTAACGTCAGGATATCTTGGTTTACCAAATGTTGTTTGTATTTATTAAAATATATCTACCTCTTCCCGCTATGAATATCAGTCCTGAAGTGACTCACATGCTCAAATGCGGGATTCCATAAAGAATATAACTGAAACCAACTCAAAAACAATAATCAATAATCAGCATGATGCAGATGAGAATAAACACCATAAAACTATGTACTGTGAAAAGTATTCACCGATAATGCACAAAAGCTGTCTTCCCCTTCCCTATCCTCTAAAGAGAGCACTGCAAAAGCAGCTGCAAACCATCAGGCCTTAACAGATGTCCAAATGCCCATCTTTGCCATGTACCAAATAAATGCATGTCTTTGGGACAGATGGGAGAATCAGAATCTTCCATAAACAGGGGGCCACTGCAGGAAAGACCATCCCTTGGGCTTCATTTTGAAGGGCACAGAGAAGAATCTCTGACTCCAAACCCAGATAAGGCTTGTGGGGTGAAAGGAGGTCCTGGGTTAGAAGCAACACTTCCAGGTTTAATTCCTGATGCCATTTTCAGGCACTTTATAAAAGCATACTACTCTTGCTTTGTGAAAGCTCAGAGTTAGTTTGTTTTTTAATTTATTTACAATTATTTCTAGATTGCCTTTAAGAGTGGAACACTTTCAAGGCAGTGTTCAAGATAAAAGCCATATAATACTATAGTCCAAAACGGCATTCAGTAGAGGGCTAATGAGGTGTTATGTAATCTAGTGTTCAGTCATTTGGTGCTAGCATTTGCCATTTGTTTCTCTGCTTATTAAGAAAGGCAAATTGTGTGTTCTGTAGTGTTCTCTCTCTTTCTCTCTCAGTGGTGCGTGTGTGTGTGCATGTGTGTGTACACTCCACACACCTCTTTCAGTCCTGAAAGAACATACATTCAAAAGAAAACTGAGTTGTCTTTTGCCAAATGTAGACAGGGAACATCAGGAAAACAACCATATATGTATAGACTGGATAAATTCAAATTCTCCCTTCTGCCAATCATGACCTGGGTTCTCTCCCACCCACACCCTGAAGGCCCTGCCCGGATGGGTCCCATTGCCTTCCATGGAAAGTAAGAGACAACAGATAGGTTTTTTTTTTTTTTTTTTTTTTTTTTTTTTGCAGTAGTCATTTAACAGAAGGATTGGAAGCCATTGTTTTGGGATGATCTTTTTTGAATGTCCTGTACAATGGAATATATATAGAGGGAGGGGGAGGGGAGAGGGAAGAGGGAGGGAGGGAGTGCCAAACAAATATTAAAAAAGAACAGATTTATAATTGTAAGCTTTACCTCATGGTTACATCTTCTTTATTTTAATTTGTTCATGATCTCAGAACTGATGGCAAAAATGAAATAAGTGATTAGTGTAAATTAAGCATTTATAGCAAAAGTGAAAGGCAGCCATAAATCTAGATGCATAAAGACGCACTGAGCTGAGTTGCTGGTGTGATCAGCACAGTTATCACCACTTCTCAGGTGTGCTGCTATAATATATAGATAAGCCTTCTTAATAGAAGATAAAAAGGGTTCCAATTTCAGTTGTTTCTTTTGCTGTAATTCCAGAGAATTCTTTTAACAGCGGGCATATTGCGCATTAAAGGAGAAGTCCGTGTCTTGCCTAAAGCAGGAAGTCGTCATCCACCCAGTTACTTATTGGATAATATTTCCCTTGGTGGAATGTTCCACTGAGACCACTGCAAATGGGAAGATGGAAATTACAATCCAAAGTATCAGGAGAGCACCTGGTTGGGGAAAGCCGTATAAGAAAGCTAGCAAAGGGTGTCTGCCTGTCTGTGTTCGCTTGTTTGTTCTGGAGCATAAACAGGATTCTAGGTTGTATCCCACCCCAGCCAGAGGAAGGCTGGACACCACAGTAGCCACCTGAAGATTTCATTCATCTTCCTGTCCTGCACCTGGGAGATGAGCTGGGCTGCCATTCGTTATGGGCCCAGGAAAGGCTTCAGTCTACCAGGTCCTTTCCGTTTCTATTATGAAGGAGGTGTATTATGCTGAACTGGCCCACTGAACCTTGAATCATCTTCTTGGCATTTCAGCCAGGCTCCAGGAAGCCAGGAAGGGCCCGTGCCAGTTCATTTGCCTCACAGAACACAATGCTGTTGCTGTTACAAATATGGAGCATCAGCTGGAGCCTTCAAACTCCATTAACTTTTAGCACATTGGGAAAGATAGAGCCATGTAGCTGATACACAAGGAGACAGATTACCTTACTAAGCAAACTTCTGTTGTGATCATTTTTTATCAGCATCTGGGCTCTGCTTTGTTCCCCTCCTTCATTCAACAGCCTTTTCTGATTTGCAGGGATTATAGTATTACTTTCAGATGCAATGCTTTTTCTTTCTTTTAAAAATTCTCTTGCATTTGCAAACCTTTCCTTTTCAAACCAGAAAGCAGTCCATCAGTATTACAGAATTCCAGGAAGGTACTTCTTTTTAAAGCCTTTGGTAAGGAAATAGGATTTTTAAAAAGTGTAAAAATCTTTCTAGGTGTGTTCGTTAAACTGCATGCGCACGATGCACACACATGGGGTGGGGGGGTAGGTTCCTTCTGCCACTTACATTTGCCCTTTCAGAACCAATCTATTCCATTGTATCTGTTGCAGACCTGGCCCAATGCATCCTATCACCTGGAGCAAAGAAGCAATGCCACTGTGCCGCTGCTCCCACAGCCCCCCTCTCCTGCCACACACCTTGCCCAGGACGGGGCTCCTGAGAGAGCTTGGATGAGCTTTCACAGCAGCTCAGCCAGTTTCTCATGAAGCCCCTGCGGGAACAAGCTCCATGCTCACTGCCATGGCAAGGCAACGTGGCACTGTCCCCAACAGCAATTGTGCCAGGGAGCCCTGCCAGCCGCTCCTACCCTGCAGCAAACGCCACCGTGGCACGGGAGCTGGCAGGCTCAGCAGGATCTCACTGGAAGCAGCATGAAGCAGCAATGGGCTCTCCTGGAGGGAGCAGAAGAGCGGTGCCACTTGCTCCTCTTCCTGGTCTGTTGCTGCTGTGAGCACATGAGCCCCTGTGGTGGTAGGGCTGCCCCACCTTATCTGCTGTATAACTGCCATGGCTTCCCCAAAGGAATCCTGGGAATTGTAATTTGGTCAGAATGTTCGAGATCCCTTGCTGCCCTCATAGAATTGCAGATGCCAGGGCCCTGGAGCGTGTGGGAACGGCTTAAAACCATAAAGATGTGAGAACTGGGGAGGAGCGAAGAGGTCATGTTTCTACCCTGATGCTTGCATGTCTTGGTAACAGAAAGTTATGGTAGTCCTACAGTTGAGGAAGCAAATAATACTGGCCAAAACTCATCTATCAAGCCATGCAGATCAACCTATTGTAAAGGAGGGAACAGCAAAGGTAGAATGCTGCTTGTGACATTATTCCTTTGTACTGAAACAGCGAGACAGGCGTAGTTTTGCTATTTTTGTACCTGACTGCTCCCACTGACCTGCAGACATCAACCACTATAACATTCCAAAATGCTCATTCCAGACAGGAACTGGTCAACGCTGTGGATCATCTTCCTAGTTTTCCTAAATGGGGTAATGGCCAACCTGATGCTATTGGGGAATATTGAAGAGTGGAAAAACTCCTCTCCGATGGGCTGAATTCCCACAGTGACTGTGTTCACACAACATGAAATGCCATGGTGGTTTATAAGCCAGGGCAGATTGCCACGTTGTTTGAACCCGGCAGCATGGTTCCTTACTCATTCTGGCTGGGATGAAAAACATGAGATGTCGCCTTGGCTTGGGTGAACCCAGTCAGTCTCAGCATCTGCACCTGCTAGGATGACCAGATAGCTTACCTGAAAGAGGGCAGTTGGAGGTCAGCCCTTCAAGGCGTTCTTGTTGAATGATTGTCTGCTTGTCCAGTTTCAAGAAAATGAACCGTATAAAGAGATAAGAAGAACCTGCACATTGCCCAGCAACATTAGCCCATGAGTCGCAGATTGAATAGCCTCACAGATTCCCTGACCAGTCTTTTCTATGCTTTTGAGATGTTTTCTGTTTCCATTAACAGTATGGTAATTTCCCCCTAATTGCAGGTGGCCTTCCTTTTGGGCAACGCATCAGTGGCAACCAGTCCTCCCACTGTATCTCTGAATTTCTGAATTCCAGTCTGTCTGTCTTTCTGTCCCTGGCCTAACAGAAGGCGCAGGGGCCCACCTGCCACCCACCTGTTTCCACAATCCTGGTCTGCCCTTAGGTTGAGTGTTTGCAAATGCCAGCTTGGGACCGCCTGTACATGTTACTCGTACGAACTGGCAGGTGCTGCCTCAGTGGCCTTGAAGGCAGCAGTTCAACCAAACCACATGCATACGGGGCCACATGACAGAATCTGGCACCGTGATTCACCACCCTCCTGAAAATGCCTGCTCACACCCTTCTTTCTAAGCCATTACTGTGACTCAGAGACACCCTGAACTCTGCATCCTCCTGGTACAACTGCTATTTGGGGCAGGGACTATATGGATGAATCACACCTAAGAAAAGTGTAGACTTAATTAGGGTTATTTGAACTTTCCTCAACTAATCGAAAAGTTTCCCCTCAACAAGGCCTTACTACACACTACCTTTCAGACAAATTGGCAGGGCAGGGGGCTTTATTGGGTCCCCTTTCTTCAAGTTTTCACTTTCAGACCTTCTGTCTAAAATCTGAAAGTGACTAATGCTGTGCAGTAAAACAGTAGCAGTTAAAAATGCATACCAGCTACTACAACGGTTATTTTCCTCCCCTCAAACTAAATTAGGAAAGGATAAACCTCAAATGCCGCCCACATTTTTGTTTGTTTGAAAATATGTGGGCTGATGCCCTTCCTCTTCGGGATTTATTTATTTTCCTTTATGTTAAATGTCACTTCTGGTTCTACTGTGCTAGCAACATGAATTTTGTTTTTGGGCTTGCTTTAAAAATTCCACACAATTCTCACAGAGATAAAAAGGGTGATAATAATTACATATAAGGGAAGTTTGAAGATATGTACCCCTGGATACTCTATAATCTAGCTATCTATATTCAGACAGGAAT